GTGATCCAAGTGTGGCTCAAGTGTGGCTCGCGGGTTCACAGTTGCCCCATTTGCGGTTCAATCGTGGTTCTAGTGTGGTTCAAGTGGGGTTCAAATGTGGTTCAAGTGTGGTTCAGGTGTGGTTCACGTGTGGACCATCGGACGCGGGCGGCGCATTCGCAATTCAATCGCGGTTCAAGTGTGGATCAAGTGTGGTTCAAGTGTGATGCAGGCGTGGCTCGCGCACTGCCCAACTAGGAAGCGAGTGGTTCTTGGTGAATGTGGCAGTCCCGCGGAAGGGCCAACCTTGGTGCAAATGTGGTTCACATCTGGTTCAACTGTGGTTCAAGTGGGGTTCAAATGTGGTTCAACTTTGGTTCAAGTGTGGTTCAAGTATGGTTCAAGTGTGGTTCGAGTGTGGTTCATGTGCGGTTCAAGCGTGGTTCGGGTGTGGTGCAGGCGTGATTCCAGCGCGGCCTCATGCGATTCCTTGTGCGAGCGTTTGCCAACCGTGCTCCAAGGGTGGTTCAAGTGTGGTTCAAGTGTGGTTCAAGTGTGGTTCAAATGTGGTTCAAGCGTGGCCCGCAGAACTCATGCGCGGCCCATGTGTGGCACAAGTGTGGTTAATGCGCAGGTGGCCCGACTGCAAACTGGCCAAGTTTGGTTCAAGTGTGGTTCAAGTGTGGTTCAAATGTGGTTCAAGTGTAGCTCAAGTGGCTGACGCGCGGTTCAAGTGCCACGCGGGTGGTTCAAGGCTGGTTGAGTTGCATGCCGAGCGCGAACCCCGTGATTTCGAAGCGTGGGCCAAGACCGATGATAGGACTCAGGGCCCGCCTAAGCGTGATTCCAGCGTTGTTGACGTGTGGCCCCAGTGTGGTCCAAGTGTGGTACAAGCGTGGTCCGCGGATGGTCCAACCTCGGTGCAAATGCTGTCCAAGTGTGGTTCAAGTGTGGTTCAAGTGTGGATCAAATGTGGTTCAAATGTGGTTCAAGTGTGGATCAAGTGCGGTTCGAGTGTGGTTCAAGTATGGTTCAAGTGTGGTTCAAGTGTGGTTCAAACGCGGCTCAAGCTTGTCCGCATGAGGATCATTGTGCGGTCGTGTGCCATACGCGGACCAAATGTGGTTCAAGTGTGACTCAAGAGTGGTTCAAGTGTGGTTCAAATGTGGTGCATGCACGGCCCAAATAACTCGCGCGCGGTCCACGCCTGGTCACACCGTGGACCAAGTGTGGTTCAAATTTGGTTCAAGTGTGGTGCAAGCGTGGTTCATGCACAGACGATCCGACCGCGCATTGGTCAGGTGTGGTTCAAGTGTGGTTCAAGTTTGGTTTAAGTTTGGTGCAAGCGCTGTCCAAGGGCACGCGCGGTACCAATGGGGTTCAACTGCTGAACAGGCGCGGTACGCGCGCCTCGCGAGCGCGGTTCAAGCGTGGGCCAAGGGCCCGCGCGTGCGCCGAAATAGGTGTGGGCGTTGTTCAAGTTCGGTTCAAGGGGTACACAAACTGGTTCGGTTGCGGTTCGCGCGTGGCGCGGGGCGCGCGGGTGTTTCGCGCGCGGCGCAAAGTGCGTTCATTGGTTCGCCCGCGAGTGGTTCGGGTTTGGCAGTGGCCTTGGGGTCTGTGCGCGGCGACCTCGCACGCGCAACCTGCGAGTTGCCCGACTGTTCGCATGCGCGCGCTGCTATTTCGAGGGCGCGGCGGGGCCGCCCCAGCGATGCATTAGGGCCAGCGGCGCTGCGCGCGATTCCACGTTGCACCGCCGCAAGTTGGGGGCGCGGGTCGGCCGCCCGACGGCGCGAGCGGCGCCGCGGGCGCCGCGCGCGGCGCAAGACGAACCCGGCGGGGCAGAACGGCGCACCAAGCCCGCGTGCCGAGTACAAGACAAGGGCGCCAGACATGTCGCGTTAACCATATGATTCCACAGGGGAAATACAACCACGCGCCCCCGAGCCCGCGCGGCACGCACAACTTCGAGGCGCAAGTCGCCAGGCGTTGCACGCTGGACGCCCGCAGACGGCGTCGGCGCGCAGTCGCGGCGCGCGCGCGCGACGATCCGACGATTTGGACGCAGCCCGCCACCGCCTCTCGCGAACGCTCACCGAGCGCAGGGTGCATCCGCGCCGTTCGACTCGGTGCGCGGCTGAGCCCGTCGCTGCAAATGCGCGCGGGAAGCCGCCGCGCGTCGCCCTGGCAGCGGGGCGAGTTCTGCGCGACGGTGGCACGCGGCGACGCGGGCAGTGCTCATCGGTGTGATCGGCGCCCGCGAGCACAGACGCGCGTGCGCGCGAGGTCCGACCGCCGTGCGCGTAGCGCTGAAAGGCGTGCTGACGTTTCACGCGCAGGTCGGGCGAACCCCAGGCGCGGCTCAAGCGCGGCTCCAGTGGCGCTCGGGAGTGATGCAGCTATGATCCGCGGCGGCCCCGCGCGCGGTATGCGCCGGTTTCAAGTGCGGCCCAGGCGTGGTTCAAGCGTAGTTCAAGCCTGGCTCAAGGACGCACGCGTCGCCGACATTTGTTTCAAGTGTGGTTCAAGTGAGGTTCAAATGTGGTTCAAGTGTGGTTCAAGTGTGGTTCGGTTCAAGTGTGGTTCAACTGTGGTTCAAGTGTGGTTCAAGTGTGGTGCACGCGTGGTTCAAGTGTGGTTCAAGTGTGGTTCAGGGCGGCAGGGGGCCGCCTAATCGTGGTGCAAGTGTGGTTCAAGTGTGGTCCGCGCGTGCTTCGGTCGTGGTTCAAGTGGCCCAAGTAACCTCATGCGCGTAGCCAGGTGTGTCCAGCCTGGCTCGCGTCTGGCGCGGCTGAGCTTGGTGGGCTCACGCGTGCTTCAAGTGTGGTTCAAGCGTGGTTAATGTGTGGTTCAAGTGTGGTTCAGGCGTTGAACAACTGGGTTTAATGTTCGCTTCCCTTGCCCAGGTCCAGCGCGCGCGTGGCTCTAGCGCGACCCGCGCGCGGTTCAGGCATGGCTCGCGCTTGGGCCAGGCGGACTAAGAGCGGCCCAGTTGCGGGCGAGGGGCAGCCCAAGCGTGGTCGGAGTGTGGGCAAAGAGCTCCAGAATGGCAGAAGCGTGGCCCACGCGCGCCCAAATCGCGCTTCCATCGCGTCTCCAGTGTGACCCACGCGCGATTAAACAGCGCATGCGCCTTTCAAGGGGGGGGGGGGGGGGGGCGCATGCGTGGCCCAACAGTGCCCGAAGTGACGTTCTGGCGTGGCCCAGGCGTGGTTTAACTATGGCCCGCGCGTGGGTTCAGACCGCAGTCTTGTCACGCATCTAATTCACGCGTGGCCCAGGCGCGTCTCCAACGTGGGCCAATGGCCGCGCGAGCAGCCCAGTCGTGTTTGTAGTGTGAGCCAAGCGTGGCCCATGGGTGACCCAATCGTGGCCCGAATTAATACCGAGCGCAGTTCAGGGGCCCACGCGTGGTCCAAATGCGGCGCATGTGTGGTTAAATGGTGGCCAGTGCGTTTCCCGGGTGTTGCTCCAGCCTGGCACGACTGTGGGCCATCTGGGATTCGGGGGCCCGCGGTTTCCTGGCGTGCATCAGGCGCGTTGGGAGCGCGGTCCCAACGCAGTCCGAAGGTGGTCCAAGCGTGGGCACAGTGTGGCTTTATCGAGGCCCAACGGGCACCAGTGTGATTCACGCGCGGCCCAAGCGCTGTTCAAGCGCGGCGCAAGACTGGCCCAGGCGCGCAGCCATATGTGTTTCACGCGTGGGCTGAATTGGTGTCAAGGGTTCTGGTCGGGCCCGTTGTGGCCCACGTGTGACCCAGATGTGGTTCACATGTGGCTCTGGGTAGTTGGGCGCGGTTCCAGCGCAGACCGCGCATGGTTTAAGGAGTGGGCGGTTGCCCAATGTTGTATCGCACGTGGTTATATGTTGTTCGCGACGGGTTCTTTGTTCGGCGAATTTGTTTTACGCGTGGCCCACGCGTGCTCCGAGGCCCACCAATAGGCTCCAGCGTAGCTCGGATGTCGTTCACGCTTTGGCATTGTTTCTTCTACTTTGTCTCGGGCGTGCCTCCAGCGTGGCCCAAGCGCGGTCCCAAACGGGCTCAAGCTTGCCTCAAGTGTTGGCCGTGCGCGTGTCTAGCGTTGTTCGCTCGTGATTCGCGCGCGGCGCAACGCGCGTTTTGTTCAATTGCGGTTCGCGCGCGCGCGCCAAGCTTGCAACGCGCGGGGGGGCGAGCGCGCGCGCGTGCCCCCGCGGCGATATCGGCGCGCCCTTCATTCGGATTGTGCCGTACAGGGATATCCACCCATGCCTTGAGTCTGGAAATTGGCAGCGTGCCGCCCCGGCCATTTCGGCGCGCCCCTCGCGCGGATCGCGTCCATATGCGAATCCACCCACAAGTTTGACGAGCAGTGTGCTTAGCCGGGGCGCGGGGCATTGCGGAAAGCAAACAAAGGCGCGAGCGCGCCGCGCCGCTGGGATGCGGCTGCGCGCCCATTGTTAAGACAGCAGCGTTTCGGGACCCAGGGGCAATTGTACGTTTGCACGCCACGCACCGTGTGATCACAATCCACAGGGAGCGTCATAGACAGACGTGGTTGCACATTGATTCGCATGGTTTCGGGGGCGCGCCGTAACATACACAAGCTTTGAACTGCGCGTTAAAACCTAAGCCCAAAAGTCAGCCCGTAGGCCTGCAATGGTTCAATCTTGAGCGCCTGTCCGTGGGGCTCGCCCGCGTGCGTTTGCAGCGGCCCTACCCCCCCTATTGTGTTTGCCGCGGGGGGCTCGTTCAGAACCATATTGTGGTTGCACCGTGTTCTGGATGTCTTTCCCGGGGCTGTTCTTGGTTCGGGTTGGGCGGCTGTGGCGGCGATAGCGTTGGTAATGATGGTGGTGGTGGTGAGTATGGTTGCGATGGTGATGCTGGCGTTGCCGACGGCGGCGGCGATGACCACGCCGAATACAATGGCGATGGCCAACTTTATGAACATGCTGTTGATGCTGACGATGGTGATGGTGTCAGTGCAAAAACTCTAACTATTCATGAATGTGTGTGCTCGCGGATGTCCGCGACCGTTGGCTTATGCGAGCGGTGCTCTGCGACGCCCATGCGGTCCGCGGCCGACAGCCACGTGGACAGGTAGTCCTTCGCGGCGCTGGGCCCGAGCTGGGCCGTGCCGAGGGCCAGGGACCTGCGCTTAGAACAGGCCGCGCGCCTCGGGCATTGCACCCTGCAGCGCTTCTGGCCCTTCTTGAAGATGGAGCCCTTCGCTAAAACGCACTGGAAGTCAAACCTCTTGGACGTGGCCCTGCGGCTGCCGTAGACCAGCGGCGACCCGCGCGAGCGCGCGCAGAGGCCGTCCACAGCCCTGAACCTGTTCGCGGACAGCTCATCCAGCAGGCGCAGCACGGGCACGTTGGGCTCGGACATGCTTGTCCTGAGGGAAATCGCACTCCTCAAAAAATATCCCTGGCCTCCCCCTTCTTGATCTTTGGGTTCTGTTCCAGAGGGCTGTGTATGTTGTAGCACGTGGTATGTATTCATGTGTGAGTTGGCCCTGAAGTCCTCCATGACAGACTCCGCCTGCCCCCAAGGCCGATGCAGCCATCGATCGCAGGCTCGACGACACTGAACGTGAAGATGCAGCTCCTCTTTGAAGCGTCGTCTCCGAAAACTGTGAACATGCTGGCGCACGTCGAAACCGGCGAAACCTGGAACACGTCGAGCCTCTCAGGCGCGCTGCCTGCTTCCCAACTCAGGTCGATGAAGACGCCCATCGGGTGGAAGAGCCATGTCGTAACATCCGTCGGCGGAGTGCCGGACGTCTCCACGACGATGTCCCTGGCTTGCTTGGCACGGACCTGGTACGCCGAGAACGGTCGATCGTCGTCTGGCCCACTTGGCACCGCCACATACTCATGCACCTGCACAGCGCCGCGCAGAAACTCGGCCATCAACTTCTGTGAGTCGGATAAGTCGGTGTAGCGCTCGATCTCATCAGGGCCTGCGACGTGCGCGGCCGCGATCATGTCTCCAGGGCCGCCTCCGCCAGGGCCCCCGAGCTCGTCGAAGTCACCTGGGCCGTCAGGCTCTCGACCAAGGCCTTGAGGTTGGAAACGGCTGTGAGTGTTGAGCTCGTACACCTTCTTCCTCGCCAACTGCGGGGCCAGTCTCAAAGGCGCCGTTGGCTCCCTCATATTCACTACTGCAGACCATGAGTTCCACGCGCGCTGGATGCCAGCACCAGTCGCGTCCACCACCCCGGCCAAGGCCCCAATGTTATAGTCCAGCCGGAGCGACGAGGCCACGAACGGGAACTCGGCAAGCCGCGAGTTGCCCGGCACGCGCTTCGCTTTCGCACGCGGCCCCTCGACGATGTGGTCGTCGAACGGGACGTCGATGAGGGCCTGGGCGGCCCGTCGCAATCTCTCTGGAAGCTCCCCTCCAGCTGAGGGCAGCTGCAGCACGAGGGCCTTCAAGGGCGAGTCATCGCCCAAAAACTGCAATGTCACTGGGTGGTGCTTCTCCTTCGGGACTGCCCTGCATTGGTGGATCATCACATTGTCGATCGCGCCTGGCTCGCCCAGCCGCGCAAGTAAGCGCGGGGTCTCATCTAAGAAGCTGGGCTTTCGCAAACCAAGCTCCCTGGAGAACTCAACGGTGCCGAGACACATGGACTGAAACTCCATATTGTCCCCGAACTGCGATGGCGGCCACTCTCGGATCTCGGCGATGGCCTGGTCGAATACTGCAACGGCGTGGTCACATGCATATGTGATCAATCTACCCTTCAATGAGCACGTTACTTGTTTGCCACGTTTGTAATCGGATTGGCGGCACACGCAAGACCCCCCCCCCATGACTGTAAAGACGCGAGCCACTGCACGTGTCACCTCGCAAAGTTGAAATGTCTAGACCACTCTGCGCTCAGGACTGCTGCTCGAACTTTCTTAATCACTGATGTGCATTTGATCTTCTGGGTGAAATCGAACTGCACCCATGACCTCCGAACAATATCAAGTAGAACACCGATTGCATCGCATGCCTTGTGAATCGCCCCCCCCCCCCCACCCCCCCCCCACCCCCACGCACGCCTCCACTCAGCAAAAATACGGGGTGCCTATTCTCTCAACCAGCTTGCCAACCGAGGGATGCGTTGCGTTGGCGGCCTTCACCACGTCGTCTGAGTAGCACCGCAAGAACGCCAGCATCGCCTTCAGCCCAGCAAGCCACGCTGGAAACCAAGGTAGCATAGACAAACTTCTCTTCAGAATCGTGTCGATGAGGTGCATCCACCCAGGTGCGAGAAGAGCGAACGGGAACAGTCTTGGAAGCCGCTGAACTCGCGGAGGGACGCGTATGCCGACGTGAACGCAGAAACCGATCAATATATCAGGCGCTGTGCACAAGAGCCGCTCCGTCCCGAAATCCGAGGCGACTGGCACTACATTGGCCAGAAATGCCTTCATATCCCTGTACGACGGACCTGTGATGAGCATGATCTTCCACAACGCCGCGTAGGTCTTTCCCGTCAAATCAAGCTGCTTGTTTCCAATGCGCACTATAGGTAGCAATATTCGCATACATGTCCATCTAATATTGTCATGCTGAGTCAGGTCCATGCTTGTCGTCAGCATCTCAACTCCTCTCCACTGCGGGTTGCCGTCGGTGAGTAGGTACACGTCTGGTGAAGAGAGTTCTGAACTCATGTACATTCGAATTAACAACACGTGGACGCAATCTAACCGAACCCGTGCCCTGTGCAGCACTTTTCTTTCGCAGTTCTCAGAACTCTCAACCATCCTGCCTGCAGCCTCAATATCAAATCGTGCTGAGATCTTGGCCCATGCAGCCTTGCTGTGCTTGATGTGGTACAGGCCCTTCAAGTTGCGAGTGGCACCTAAGAACGCTATTAACACTGTTGCTGGAAGGCCTCCGAACTCACTTGATGCATGAACCTCTTGATGTTGTCGAGATCGAGCCATGCCCGAAGATCTAACCTCGGGGCGTTCCAGCAAGAAGCAAGACCTCCAATACTTTGCAACATGTGGTGGCGGACCACTGCTCATCAAACGGCTGGCGAAGCGCATGTTCGACGCGAGGGGTACAGCTGTCAACGCTGCCCAATCATCTGTTAATGTTCTCTCTGCGAATTTTTGTGACACCATTGCAAATCTGATGCGGAGGTCACACGCTGCAATATTGAGGCCATGGGCCCACAACGTAACCATCATTTTACAAGTCACGTCCTCGTATCGATCACGTTGTCCAACCATGTTCCCGCACCGTTCGTATTTGATATCCTGCCATATATCTGATACACCGAATTACCTGGAGAACGCGCCTGTGCACTAAGAGTGAGTATCGTGTGATGTTGTACACGACTGCGCCAGGTATAGTGCAACCAGGTGGGTCGCCACATTTTCTGAAAAGAAATTTAGCCTGTCTGTTCGACGCTAGTACATCACCTCCTTTGACTACCGGCCAGTGCCCGATACAAAGACCCAGAGCCGTCCTGTCCTCGAATATGCGTGGGCACTCGTCCACTGAGTAGCCTGACGCTCCAGGGGCTGAGCACATTATTGTGATGGATACGTCGCCCCACTCTGGATGAGTTGCTGCTGGTCGGCCGCGCTTCCTGGTCACCACAAGGGTTGGAGGAAGGCCCACATCATCCCCGTCAATGTCTGCAGCGCTGCTCGGTGGAAGGGGCAGTGGAAGCTCGTCTCCGTCGACTTCCATGCAAAAGCACAGCTTGACGCCAAAACGGTTTGCGAATCATGGACAATACTGGTTACACTGTGCCGCAATACACGTCTTGGCATTGCAATGCAACGCAATGCGCATGTTGGAACCTGATGCAGCGCAATACAATGCAATTCGTCGTGCCATGGCGCACGTTCGCATAAAGCCACACGGAACCCAACGCAATGTGCTGTGCTAGTTTTTATGTTACATTGTAGTGGGAAGTGCAGTCATCAGTGACAACACGCGGGCTTCCAGAACGAATAATCCGTCGACCCTTGCGGGATCACCCGGTTTCTAAGGTTGTCTTTCACCCCTGTCCCTCTGACGCGTCCCTGTTTTCGTTGTCCAATAACGGACTCGTTCGTTTTTTCGTATCAACGATACCGTTGTCAGCCCACGCCCCCGCCTTCCCTACACAGCCAGCAAATGAACCCCAATCGCGGCACAACGCCATGATGTGAACACCCGTTGCTTGGCCCCCCCCCCACAATGAACTGACAAGCGCCGTGAGCTTCTACGTCGTACAGGCCCAAGCCTACACTAGTAAAATAGAGTTCGGCTTCTACCCGCACTCACCATTGACCCCCCATACACCTCCCTGGATGCACCCGTGTGTTAGTATGCGAACTACGTAATGCTAGCACGCGCAACAGTCACAACACGAGGTGATGATACTGAGTGTTACATTGACGTGTATTTGCTTTGATGGAATTAAGGTGTTGATGTAGTGAGATGCTTATGTGGCCCAGTGGGGTTTCCTCCTATTCCCAAGACCTGTATTGAAAAAACGCCTCCCCGACCTCAAAGCTTACAGTTACGCGTTGCACCCACCCTGGGGACTTGGGGGATACCGCTGCATAGGTACAGCGACTTATTCCTATCCTGGAGCCTTACCACCCCCGGACCCCCCCCCCTAAACCGGACCCCCCTCCAAGGGACGCTCCGGACGCCCTTTCGGACGTGTCGGCGGCCACCTGGACGCCCTTGGAAAAGGTTCGGTGGCCCTTCCGGGCCTCCCAGGGCGCCTCGCTGGGCCTTGCGAGCCGACTGAAGGCGATTAGAGGGGTCGTCGGAGAGGCGCAAGAGAGACCCAAGACAGCACAAGAGCGCTCCAAGAGGAACCTCGATGGTCTGAAGACGGCCCAAGAGGCCCCCAAGACACCCCAAGAGGCCGTTAAGAGAGCCCCGAAGAAGCCAAAATCGTCACATTCCCTCAGGAAATACATTTGTTGTGCATATCCACTTTTGGGGTCTTCGCAGCGTCCAAGACGGCCCAATGGGCCCCCAATCTCGCCCCGAGACGGCCCGGGAGGCCCCCTAGAGGGTTTGAAGGCGGCCCAAGGGGGCCCCAAGACTGCCCCAGAGAGCCCCGAGGCTGCCCACAAGAAGCCCGAGATGCCCCCAGAAGGCTCCCAAGAGAGACCCACGAAAGCCATGGGATACTTCCAAGAACGCCACTGGAGGCCCGCAAGAGGGCCCTAGATGGCTTCAGAAGACCTCTGGAGGGCCCCAGCTCCCCAAGGCGGCCCAAGAAGCCCCCAAGACGGCCCAAAAGTGCCCCAGGACGGCACAAAAGAGCACCAAAAACGACCAGACGGCGTTCTCCTACGAAATACATCAAGCTGACCCGACGATCTTGGTTCCACGCTTGAGGCTCGAGGTTTCAGTAGCTCCCCGATCGAGAGAGACAGGCAATGGATCTAGACTCGAAATTCGACGATCGAAGATTTCCTGAGTGCCTGGAGCCCTCCAAGCATTCGGGAAGCGATCAAAAATCGATGTGTTCGGAGCTACTGTGACTTCTTCGGCGTGTCATGGGAACGCTCCTTACTTCCTCAAAGGACCTTCGCGCGCGGGGAACAATTAGCATGATTTCCCCACTCCTGCGCACAAGCGTACCAGCGCATCGTCCGAAAGCGGTGTCAGCAGGCACCCAAGATATCGGAAAAATGGGCGGGTCGCCCGTCCAGGCCTCGACGTCCTCCCTGCTAAAAAAAACGATGATTCATTGCTTTGCCAGGGAAGCGTCCGGAACAAGGCGCATGGCGCGAAGCGGCAATACATATATATATATATATATATATATGTATATATATATATATACAAGACTGCAGTGGCGCTTCGCACCATGCACATTGGTCCTTGAAGTTTGGTATGCAGGCGGAAATGGCAGGAGGGTCAAGCCGACAATTTAGCGATAACTCCTTGCTGCCTTTTCTGTCATCGCTGTTATGATGATGTTGTTCGTTGTCCTTCCTCCATGATTATTTTCCTCATTCTCGCCATACCCTGGGCATTCTCCCCATCCTCCTCAGCTCTTTTTGCGGAGGCTCCTCCTTGGAGAGCCTCTGGGGGCCTCACCAAAGTTCTGAGGCTTTCTTAAAGCCTTCTGGAGGCCTCCTGGGTGTGTTCTGGGGGCCTCTGGGGCTTCCTAAGGCCAACCTGCCTCTAACCGCGGTCTCCCTGAACGCCCCAGTCACGATTTGGAATGCTTCGGAGGGTGTCTTGGGGCCATCTTGGGCCGCCATGGTGCTCTCTTAGGGCCATTTTGGACCTCTGTTGTGCCGTTTTGGGGCTCTCTTGGACTGCCTGGTAGCCCTTTCGGATGGTTGTGGGGCGATTTGGGAGCCTCCCAGGCGGCTTCGGACGCCTAGGAGACCGCCGTCTTGGACCGTCGGGAAGCCGAAAAGAGGAGAACCCCAAATGCACCAAAAACCTACATAGAATCAATGATTTGTCCCTCTTGTTGCTTTCTTGGGGGTGCTCTTGGAGGCCTCTTGGTACGTCTTGGAGCGATCTTTCGGGGTATGACGGCTTCTTGGAGCGCTCTTGTGCTGTCTTGGGGGTCTCTGGGACGTCTCCGGTGACCCCCCTGATCGCCCTGGGTGTGCTGCGAAGGCTTGGCAAAACGCCCTGCGAGGCCCAGGGGGCCGCTTCGAGGCCCGTCCGGAGGGTCCCAAAGCTGCAGATCCCGGGGGTCCGGTTTTAGGGGGGGGGGGATGGGTTTTCCCCCCGCCCGGGCTTATAAACATATAGGAAGAGGAATATTAATACACATATATATATATATATATATATACACATATATATATATATATATATATTCACATATCGGAAATGAACGAGAAACATATAGAGGAGGACAGAGAGATGGATATATATATAGAGAGAGAGAGCATCATATAACAAACACAAGCGATAGAACGAGAGATGGAGAAAGAGAGAGAGAGAGAAGGAGACATCCCATATGTATGGACGCACCTTTGTAGTGCACAGCTGCACACAAACAAATGGAACAAAAACAAAAAAAAACCCAACCTGTGTACACATACACATCTGTATATACTATACACGAGTGCAGATGATGAGGATGAGGGAAGGAACGCTCGAAGGAGTGAGGTGGGAAGGGAGGCCGAGCGAGAGGCAGGACGACGGCAGGACGGAGGGAGGGAGGAGCGAGGCAGACCGAGCCCTCCCACTTCCACTCGTCCTCCTGCGCAAACCGCCCCCGGGCGACGACGACGAAGACGAGGACGATGCTTTCGTCCTGATGCCAAAGTGCGAACACTTTTTGTGACCAAAAGGCTGGCTCGCACGGGACTCTGCTTTCGCCCGTGGGCAGCCTCGCACCATCATTAGGGGAACAAAAAGTGACATAAACATAAAAACTGGGAGGTCCGCGCGGATTTCTCGAATCGGCGCTGGGGCCCCCCGGCGGCGCCTCCGGCGCCGCCCCTGGCGCGCTCCGCGCACCAGGGAGAGGGGTCCAGCGCCGATCCGAGAAATCCGCGCGGACCTCCGAGTTTTTATGTTTATGTCACTTATTGTTCCCCTAATCACCGTCATCGTCATCGTCATCGTCATCGTCATCGTCGTGATCCTCCCGCCTGCTCCTCCTGCGGGGGGAGAGGCCGACCCCACGGAGCTCCACGGAGACCACCCCTTGCCGGTCAGCACCTGCACCTGCGCCTGGTACTGGCGCTCCGCGCGCAGGCCGTGCACCACGATGGAGCCCACCTCCGCAGGCGGGGACTGGCCATCGCTCGGACGTCCATTCCCTGTGTTTTTTTCTGCTTCGTGCGTGGTTTTTTCGCCAAACGATCAAGGATGCTCCTCGATGGTCCTCGCCGAAAGAAAAATGCACACGTCCGAGCGATGCCAAGGGGGAAGGGCAGCAGGCAGTGCAGCGGGCGCGCAGCGGCAGGCAGAGAGCGCGCGTGCGGAGCCCCTCGCCCCACCGCGCGGGCCAGTAACCACAGGGAAGCAGAGAAGCAGGGGCCGTCAACGGCGACGCGTCGCGATGACGTTCGCTGCCGGGTGCGCTTCGTGGCATCGGCCGCATCGCCGATGCGTCGCCGAGGGAGCGCGCCGCATCGCCCACGTCGCCCAGCAGCTCGGATCTGTCGACACTTCTGGCAACAGGCCCCAAAGCTGATTTATCGAACGGGTTCTGGCGGGACACGAACTTCTGATGGTGTGCGGTATCTCTCTGCAGTGGCCATTTGGACATCCGCCCTCAGTCCCACCTGGTCCTTCGCCTGAGGCCTCAGCCCGAATCACGCGGTAACGAGGATATAATGTCATTCGGAAACTTGAATGTCTCAGTTCCGAGGTCCTTAAAGTGCAGCCTCGACATGTGCGGAGCCACATCGCTTAGATTTGACAACTCTCGGACACCCTCGATGGCGAGAAATGCGGCGACCCCGACTGGCCAGGGGTGAGAAGGCGAGTGAAACAATTGGCTGGCCACCCCCCCTTACCCTATCCCTGCGGGGTTCAGCATCCCGTTAGAGAGAAGGGCACGCGATCTCTTTAGCGCACTTCCGGCGTCCTCAGAGCCTCCAGGTCCACTCCCCGGCGCCGCCAAGATGCCCAAAGCCGCCCTCCGAGACGGCTCCGGTTCAGCTCCTCCACGGCCAGTGGGCTCCAAGACGGCTGCCAGAGTGATGCTTGCCTCTTCGCGTGATGTCAAAATCGCCCTCCCCCTCCCAGCTTTTTTGGCACGGCCAGGGGCGTGAGCTCCAGTGAGACGATCCCCTCATCTCCCCCTCCTCTCCCCTCCTCCTCCTCCTCCTCCTCCTCCTCCTCCTCCTCCTCCTCCTCCTCCTCCTCCTCCTCCTCCTCCTCCTCCTCTGCCTCCTCCTCCTCAGGGGGAGGGTGCTGGCGGCGCGCAGAAGGGGGGGCGTGGCCTTCTGAGAAAGCAGGGAGAGCCTCCCCCAAAAAGAACCAGAAGGAGTCCAACAAGGCTTCTCCCTCGAAGGCGGGAAAGCTCCTGAGCAGGCCCCTCCTCTGGGAGGCCCCCCCCCTCGCCCAGCGCCCCCTCTGCGCGACACCGAGGCGGGGGGGGGAGGGGTCTGGTTGACCCAAACGGGGTCCAGCGACAAGAGGGCTTTGCTGTGTTCCTGCTCGCTAACATTTGTCATGCGTGCGGAGCTACACTGTCAATGCCGCGCTTTCCTGTGGCTTTGCTGCGTTCCTGCTCGCAACGCACGTCGCCAGAGGCGGCGGAGAACTTGAGAGATCCACCTACCAAAAAAGGGGGGAAGGGTCTGGTTGATCCAAAAGGGGGTCCAGCGACAAGGGGGTGGTGCAATAGATTTGGTGCAATAGATTTGTGGGGTTGCAACAGATCTGGGGCCTGCAATACATTATGGTGCGCAAATGTGTTGCTGGAACTTCGCGTGCAATACGCTAGTTGCAATACAATGCAATACAACTTCCTGGCGCAATGCATCTGCAATGCAATTGCCCCAAATCTATTGCGCCACTCCCTTTCAGCTGGACCCCCTTTGGGGTCACCCAACAGGGGGCACACAGCGAACACAGAGCAGACATGGGGAGCTCTCCTGCACGTCGCCCACCGCGCCCTCGGGCCCGACCTCCAGCTCCTCGGCCCACTCCTCCGGCGCCCGCACGCCCGGCAGCCAGAACTCCTCCGCCTCCTCGGGCTCCTCTGAAGGGGCCCAGGAACACAATACACACATATATATATATATATGTATATATAAATATGAATCAGAGGACTCCTCATATATATACATATATATATATATCGTTATGTTCGTCTTCCCCCCCACTTCCCAGAGTTTCGCATCTGTCCCTGGGGATCGGCGATGCACCGTGTCTGTGTGCTCTTGCTCCCTCCCGATCCTCGCTGTCGCCGTCGCCCAGGTGCACCAGGTACCCGCCGTCGCCCGCGGGGCCGAGCACCGCGGGCTGCGCGGGGCCGAAGGCGAACAGCGGGGCCCCCCGCAGCAGGTGCGGCCCGTCCGCGGCCCAGACGGCGTCGACCCAGCTGCCGGGCACGACCTGCTCCTGGCCCCGC